TAACGAAATATATTCAACCTTTCATTTAATTATGTTGTTCTATAACTAAAGCAGTATCGGATACACTTCATGTGTCATCAGGTTCTTCGATAACTTTTTAAATATATTTTTTAGTATCGTGCTCTCATTAAAACAAGGAAATGACAAATCCCCTAGCCAGAGCCATATGTTTTCACATCTGTTCACCTCACTTAAATTATTTTTTGTTTTCACTTCTGGATTGTATACTTTTTATTTGATACTTTTTGTTGTAGGTACTAATTCAACTGACAGAAAGTAATTAGCAATTAGCTGTTAATGTTCATGCCTAGATAGACCATTCACTGGTGTGTTATAATTGACATGTTTCTAAAATGGGTGAAGTAAATAGTAACAATAAGAGTTGCCACGGATCATTAAGCTTTCGAATTTAATAACACTAACGTTTAACGAAACTGTTCTTGTGGAAATAATCTTTCTCATTACTTGATGTGTCTATTAGTAATTTTAAAATAAATTTTTCCATATTATGTATTTTTTATAGATTACTTAATTTCTGTCGCTTAACTAATAAATTTTTTTAACGGTAATATACTCTATTATAAATTAATAATAAACTGATAAAATACTGCTTATAACTAATAACCTGACATAGCTAAAGTCGGTTGCGGAATAATTTTTTTCTTAAAATGACAGACGAAGCAAACTAGAAAAATTTTTAGCATGGCTAACCTGTTTGAATATGTCTACTTGGCCAGTACCTCGTTTAATATGTATAAAAAATAGTGGATTATTTCAACGTATTGTTACGCAGGTTTTTGGTATCACAATTTATTTTAATTCAACTTTAACAATAACTCAATTCAACTGGTACAATAACATTAAAATGTATCGTCTATCATAAAACTGAACTCTGACGTCAGGTCGTCGACTTATATAGCTTGTCTCGAGCTTTTAGAACCTCGAACATTCCGGACTTTTCTTTGACAAGGAATGACATTTCGAGACATTTCTGGATTATTCTATCTTTTTTATTTACTCGTACCTTTACTACGCTACAGGGTGCTGCGTAACAGTATTATATAAAAATGTAATTACAGATTTATAGATTTTAATAAAATTTTGCTCGTTCAGGAGGAGATATAATGTTGAAACAACGAAATATCTCTAAAATTACTCTTTGGATAAAAAAAAAATTAAGATTGTTCGTCTCCAACGATACCACCTTACCGACTGCGCCATATGGTAACAAAACACAAGAGCAAAAAATTCAATATGTAAATCCATAATTATAAGATACATCAATCATACATATATGTAGTACATATTACTCTACTTACAAACTATCAAATGTTTTTGACTCAAGAGGACAAAGTTCAATTTCATGTTTAAAGTGAATAATTGTAAAACTTAATCGCAAATGACGCCTGTGAACTCATTCAAAATGGCGAGGAAGGGTGCGCAAACAAAATGCGCTCCATTAAGAAATTTAATTCTGTACCACTAATGAAGGAATATGATTGTGGATTTAGGCAATTTTTTTCACCAACGTAGCTAAAGAAGGCTTAAATAAGGATATAATTATTGGTAGATACATTTCTATGAAAATAATTTTACCCTTACTTAAATATTTCTTTTATATATTAATATACTAAAGAAATTTCTAGATAAAATGTTGTACGAGTGCTCTCATTAAAAATTAATTATACAAATTATGTCGATTAAGAAATATGTATTTATGTATCATTTATAAAAAAATTGCATATCATCAACTTATTAAAACGGGTCATCGTTCAAAATGTTGCATACAGTTGTTAATGATCTGGAATAATTTTACATTGAAAAAATATTAATAGTTACATAAGCAATTACAATGTTGAACTAGAAAAAAGGTTTTTAAGTTATATTTCAAGAACGTATACCGATCGATCGATTCTGCACAAGTTTATTTATTTAAAGTCTTTTCGAAGATTAATAAATACATTAAGTTCGATATTTTTTTCTTCTAAATGTCGTTTACGCCTACTTTGGCTTGCAATATTTTCTAATGCACTCGCTATTCCTATATAACTGTAAAATTATAATATTAACTAATACAAAATTTCGAATCAATTAAAATACATACGATACGACTATGACTAAATAAAATCTGACTTATCTGTCAGTGCCAAGGTTTATTACAGTAAAAATCATGGAAACATGATTAAATCTAAACGAAAATTTTTATTATTTTATCTACAAATAAGCTTTGAAGGATGAGGTATAAATAAAATGTCTACCTCTTGAACCTGTTCTACGTTCTGCATATTAAATAATGCACTCCTTCTCTAGACTATAGGAGACTCCATAAACTAGAAAGTAACTCTCCAGTTCCAACAAAATATAACCTCATCAATATCTGCATCGGTAAATTTAAAATCTTTCGTTTCGGAAAAGAAAAAAATCACAGCGGGTGAGATATGGCCTATTAGGATTCTCTTGAAAATCATTTTATCAAATTGAACTTGTTTCCAACGCCTCTGATGATAAAATGGTACCCTCACATATTTAATTAACTGTTCTTAATTTTACGTCAGAAGTTATTATTTAAGCAATAAGCATACAATGCAATAATGAAATGTTCACGTGATATTTTGTTTAAAAATTCATTTTACGCGTTGTCACTCTGTATTTTTGTGTTATGTTTGGAACGTGGACGGATTTAAATTGTATTTAATTAACTTTTTATCGTAAGAGAAAAAACGTTAATAAATCGCCGAACATACAAATTATTAATCATTTTTTAAACAAAGTATTTAAAAAGTGACACATTAAATTATCTAGATTATATCTAAGGAACGATTAAACCACATGACTATAATTGAACCAGTTTCTCATATTGTAGATCTATGGCTTCTTCAAGGACGTATACAGTCTGTAAAAATTACCCTTTGTTGTCAAATTTTTATCTTCAAAATACCAGTAACTACATAGATCGATAGTTTGATAAATAACATACATTTTAAATACTACTATTAATATTAAGTGTAAATATTGTACAGGGTGGCTAGATGAAAATGTACCAGAGCCATTATAGAGCCACCTTAACCTTCATCTGGCCTCGTGGGGTACGTACATACCCCCACGCTCTTTCTCGTCGATTTTCGATATCTAAATTTTCGAAATCGAAACTCGTTACGACATCTATCGGTAGTCAAGGGATATACTTTTATACCTGGGCCGGTGGGATAGCGCTCTCAAAATAAATACCTTTTTTTTTTAAAACCCATATAAACAATTATTATTCTTTTATAGTGATGTAACAGAAATGTAAAATTTCAGCCCTTTTTATCGAAAAACAAAAAGTTATGATTACTCTGACTATTCTACAGTTTAAAATGGTATCTAAAGAGGATCTCTGAATTTTTTTGAGACAAAATAATCAATATTTAAATTTTTACAAAGATTTTTCTCACTGGGATTCGTACGTACCCCACGAGTCCAGGGTAGCTATTCTTGAATTCGAAGGAATAGAAAACCGGTTTTGCCTCTTTATCTGCAACGCGCAAAATTTGCATTTTTGTCTCATTCTTCCCTCAAAATTTCTACTCCCTGAGATTCAAGAATAGATACCCAGGTATGCTACTCAGGATGAGCAAGCCAGCTGAAGGTTAAAAAGGGAAAGGTTTGTAGAGAATTCAGTAATATAACTATTCATTGCGTTACTTTTGATTATAGCATCCTCCAGCGGGATAAAAAAACTGTTACGTATTGCAAAGTGTGACACCTAATTTGAAAGAAAATTTTATCAGTAATTTAATGCGTAACATAAACTTGTTATTTTAATTGATTGCGATTAAAGTTTGTATTCATAACGTTAAAGCTCTGCAAGATTTTTCATTTATTAAATTCATGTTTCCTTCAATTATATTTTGTTATGTTGTGCATTAAATTAATAATAGAATTAGCTTTCAAATGAAGTGTCATACTTTATTTCCCTAGAGGGCGCTTAAATCAAACGTAATGCAATGAATAGTCATATCACTGAATCCTCATTACATTTTCATTGATGTGTCATATTTGGCACTTTCCCTATTTAAATTGTATTGGTTACAATGGCGGAGAGAGTAATGACGTATGACAGTTGGGGATATGATAGAAAGATCTCCCTCTTTAATAAAAAAATGACGGGTAAAAGTGTTTGTCTAAAATGTTGATGCAGTTCCTGAAAATGGGCTCTGGTACGTTTTCGTCTGGTCACCCTGTAAATTATGAAAATTATAAAATGTACCAGACAATTCTTATTGCCAAACAGACATGTGATAATATTTAGCGATACGTATAGCGTGGTATTGCTTGCTGCTGTCTTTAATATTTCGCATGTGCTTATTAGAAAAGTTTCTTGGGTGAATAAAATAATATCGGTAACCTTTTAGACAGTGTTCCCATTTGATTTGACATTTATGTCAAAACGTTTAAAAAATAAATTTTGAGTTTATGTACTTGATAATAAGTGAATATATTAAAAATGAATAATAATAAACATGGTTATAGCTAAAAAACTTAATTATTTTATTATAATTATTAATCTAATAAACTCATATTTATCACTATATAATGGTCTATTGTAAAACCTGGATTACATTTTAAGTCTTTTCGTCTATCCTGCCCCATGTTTATACTGTCGATATTGGACTCATGTTCTAAAGGCAGCTGAAAAGTAGAGGCATATAGATTATGTGACAAAAAATTTGTTTATATCTATGCCATTTTCTTTTAGCATTGTTTGTATCCATCGACTGATAGATTATGAAGTGGCATGGTCGAGGGCATGGTGGTGGGACCTGAAGATAATGATAAAGTCATTAACTTATAATTAAATATTAAAAATAATATAATCAACCCGTGAAAAAGCTAATAGAGTAGAAATACATGTAAATATTAAAGAATAAAACGTGTATTTTTTTACCACTTGTATTTTCTGTTTCTATTTTAGAAGTAAAACGACTAAAACTGTAAGTATCTATTTTTATTTGTTTCAGGCATCAAATGTCCAGTATGCAGCAAATTTGTGATTCCTGATGATATAGAATGTCATTTGGTGATGTGCCTAACAAAACCTCGGCTATCTTACAACGGTAAGTCGTATGTTTATTTTGAGCAATAAGTCTAAAAAATATCGAACAATGGAAAGAACTGTTTTAATATGATATAGCTAACCTCTCGTTTCAACTTTTTTTTTATAAATTAACAGTAACACTGTTTCTATTTACCGTTGGTTTGGAAGTATTTTAGTAGTCATTGTCCTACATATAGTTTATAAAAAAATTAATCATGTGAAATTTTAACGAAACTAATTTATAACATACTACTGTTTTATATTTAACTAATCCTTAGTAAACATTCTAGATGCGCTACATTGGTGGTTTTCACCTTATCGAGACTGAGGTCTCAACGCGCAAATTCGTAAGAGGTAAATTAAGAAGTTTTTTTTTTAGTTTAATATTTTGTCTTTAGTTTTATTTTACATTTTCTTGGACATTTTATTTTCCTAATATCCTGCTATAGGAGTTATCCTCATTTTCCGGGTATAAGTATTCGTATGTATACAGATCTAAAACTAAAAAGGAAACACACATCACCATCTCAATGTGAAACATACGCTGAACTACTGGCAATCGAGTTATGTATACAAGAGAATTTAAGAAGGAAATACAACATTCAAACCATCTTAATTCTCTCAGACAGCCAAGCAGCCTTAAATACTCTTGGTTCAAACATAATCAAGTCAAAGCAGATCTGGAACTGCCTTGGAATACTTGCAACCCACAACAAGGTAAAACTAGAGTTGGGGATCAGGACAAAGGTATCCAAGGAATAGAAAGACTGATGAACTCACCAAAGAGGGATCGGAACTACCATTCACAGAACCCGAAACTGTATTTGGGATAAACAAAACCCTTGCTCTGCAGGCAGTGAACAGGTGGATAACCCTTAAACATCAAATTCACTGACAACAGATAACAGAACCCAGAATCAGTAAGTTCATGCTAAGGGAACCAAACCCAGACATGGCTGCTGAGGTACTACAGCTCGCAAGTTCCCAGATATTCTACATTATGAGATTACTAATCGGACACTGCTTACTGAAACAACACGTGTAGACTTTGCATGGAAGAGGAAAAACCTCATACCATGTTATCTTCAAATGCGAAAGTTCTTGCTAGGTGGCGACTCACCTTTTTCGGTCTAAAACCGTAAAGGACGCTCCAAGAACACTTGGTTGGAAACCTAGTAAGAACCATTGTTCGGCTTTTGATTATGGTTTGCAAATTTTTTTGAACAAATAATTTATGTAAAGTATTTGGTCCTACAAGCTTGCTCATGTAAAAATATTTAGACTCTTTACCTCTTAAGCCTGCCCATGTCAAAATATTTGGTTCTTCACCTCTTAAGCCTTTCCATGTAATAATATTTGGCCCATTAATACTTCATGTCTGCCTATGTAAAAAATGTGTTGTCCCTTTATCTCTTAAGCCTGCCCATATCAAAATATTTTGTATCTTTTTTATTTAAGTCTATGTAAATAAATTGATATGAAAATACCAACTTAATTTCCCAATATATTTTTCCAAATTTCAAAATACTTTCAAACGGGTGGTTCATTTCTAAAAATTTAACCAAATAAATACAGTTTTTTCAAAAAAAAAAAAAAATATATTCAATTTCTTCCCTCTTCTCTGCTCACTCCTCTCCTTGTATCCTTCTCTCCTTTGCTCACCGTCTACTTCCCTGATGTCCTCTGCTCAATCCTGGTATCATTCTCCGCTCTGCTACAACTCTGCTCCAGCTTCTCTCACTCAGTCTCATTGCTCTCCCTGTCTTCCAATATTTATAATAGAAATATCTATTTTTTATTTATTTCTTTCATTTAATTCTTCAAATTCTATTACAGTCCTTCATTTAACATTTAATAAACAAACCTAATCCCTCTAACATTTCCAAAATCAACAACTCCGATGACATCGTTGAATTTTGACAAATTTTGATACATTTTTTTTGTGACGTCAACTTTTCATATGAAAAATATTTAAAGGCTTTGCCCCTTAAGTCTATCCTAGTAAAAATATTTGGCCCATTTACATCGTACCCATGCAAATGTCAGTGTATTTGGCCCTTTACCCCTTAAGCTCTCCTTTGTAAACAAATTTAGGATCTTTACCCCTTTAGCATGACCATGTATACATAATATGTGAGCTCTTTGCCATTTAGATTCCAATATCAAATTCAGATACGATCTCTATTCTAGAGTTTCTTAAAACTCGTGCAAATATTATCTTTACTTCTCCATCATGTATGTTATTCGCGTAATATCCACATTCATTTCAACTTAAAACAATTATTTTCACTTATCTATCACTTTCTATTCAAATAAATAACCTCTCAAATAAAATCCTTTAAAAATATTTAAACAATTTATTTGACGTTTAAAAATTACATTAAAAAATGGATGTGTGCTTTCACAGTTGACATACACATACATGGCTATCTAGTAAAATTATTAACAGTGTCGTAATGTATAAAATAAGCTCCATAATAAATGCACTGCATTTTAAAAACACATTTAAAGCGCTTGTTAAATTAAAAATTCTGAAAATCAATAGAGTTCTCAGCTGGAAGAATTTATCAAACAAAGTCGAAACCGCAAGTCCATCGGAGCTTTCGTTCTAGAATTATCTAGTCGTCGCGCGCACATACGCACGCACAGACAAGACGAGATTTTATTTTGTGTGCTAAGATTGACTGTTCGGATCAAAAACTACTAGACTAAACCTTTCATTCATTATTAAGCCCTTTTTATTGCAATCATTTAGATTGTTTATTATTACGCAGATCTGTCGCATCGGCTGCAGCATTAGAAAGAAGGAGATAGCTACTAATTTGAGTGGGAATGGTTTGTGCGAGTATTTTTATCTGAGAAGCGAGCATGCGTTTTATGAATGAATCAGTATTTAGATCTACTACGCTTGCTTTTCACTGCTTCACAGAGGTGAAGTACCTAGGTCTCACCTTTGACAGCAAGTTAACATGGAACTCGCATTTAGAAAACAGAGTTAAAAGAGCATACATTTCTTATGAACAATGCCGCCCAAACGTGGGGCACACCTGGGGTTTCTCCCCCAGAGTCGTCGCATGCACTTACACGGCTATCATAAGACCTATGCTAACATACGGTGCAGTTGTCTGGGTACCAAAAACCCAAAAATTAACAGCTATCCGTAAACTAGAACAAATTCAAAGAACAGCATGAAAACAACACCGACCAGAGCCATAGAAGTCATTCTTAGTCTCACTTCCCTTGATATTTACATCAAGTAGGTTGCTCTGACGACAATGACACGCCTCCGCACGGTTGGAATAGAACCTAATGTAGGATCCGCCTCCACTGCTTCAAGCGAACATGGACTCCATCTAACCGAAATATATCTTCCATAAGCCATATAAAGTTATAATAGAACAAATAGAAGATCCAGAAGTGGCAGGTACGATTCATATCTACACCGACGGTTCTAAAACAAAACAAGGCTCAGGATGTGGAATATACTCAAGATTCTTAAACCTAAACATAAAATGGGCCGTGAGCAATAGTGCCAGTGTAGTTCAAACAGAGCTTCACGGGTATTCTCATAGCAGCAAAAGAAATAACCAGAAACAATATCACTGGAAGGAACATGTTCATCTATACAGATAGAAGACAAGCACTATTCACCCTGAACAGACCACGAATTTACTCAGAGTTAGTACTAGAATGTCACGAAGCTTTGGCCGAAGTATCCATCAACCATGTGGCCACCTTAAGATGGATCAAAGGTCACGCCACATCGAAAGGTAACCGTCTTGCTGATTCACTAGCCAAGAAAGCAGCCAACCAAATACTTTTTGGACCTGGACCTTCTATTGGCTTGACAAAATCGATAGTGACAGACCTAATTAAAGAACATTCCCTTGTGAAATTTAAGGAAAGATGGGATGAAACAAGACACTGCAGAGTTGCTAGGGAGCTCCTAAGTTATCCTGACAATACTGCAGCAAACAAATACTTGATTATGACTAGACAGAATCTGCATCTAGTCACAGGCATTCTGACTGGTCATTGCCAAGTACGGAAGCTTCTCCATATCATGGAGCTGTCAGAATCCGCACTCTGCAGAGGGTGCGAACAAGAAGATGAGACTATCAAGCATATCCTTTACGATTGCTCGACGCTCTCATTTATTAGAAGATTTGTGTTCGGCAAGTATCGACTAACGCTGGCCGATATAAATCTGTAGGCTGGCTCACGAGCTAGGAGGTGCCTATCATCTTAGGAGGATGCACAATGGGCCTAATGAGGCCTTAGTAACCCACCCCCCTAACGTTACAGATACAGATGTTGTCGGCGTACGCACAGACAAGACGTGATTTTATTTTGTGTTTTAGGATTGACGGTTCCGATCAAAAACTACTAGACTAAACCATTCATTCATAATTAAGCCCTTTTTCATGGCAAGAAGAGAGCTGCTAATTTGAGTGGGAATGGTTTGTGGGAGTATGTTTATCTGAGAAGCGAGCGTGCGTTTTATGAATGAATCAGTATTTAGATCTACTACGCTTGCTTTTCACTGCTGTCACACTTCAAAATTAATTGTGTATTTTCCTGAAAAACACTAATAGCTATAATACGGTCCATCGATCATCACATTGTCGCAGTTTTCTTCCGGCCTTATTTTTCTAATTCATTTTATTTTGTTCTACATATACCTAGCCAAATATTCTTTACTGATATGTTCTCTTGCAGTTCGACAGGAATAACAAAAGTCGCGAGATGCGCCAACGTTAGACACAACACAAAGAACGAATGTATGGCGTATATGGCCGCGCATATCACCTTGCCGGCTTCGTTTTTTTCTGTCATAGTGTAAATTCTCTTGGTGTATCCCCACCAACTTAGTTGTCTGGCCTCAACGTATTCCTAATTCTTTTGTGTTATCTTGTTTCGGAATTATTTCTCTCAGCGTCACTCCTTTTACTTTACGTAAGTATTAGAACCCAAGATCCGCATATTTAATTAGTTTGTACTCAAATTTAAAGCTGGGTA